CCCGCTGCCCTTTCGACCCGCAGCCCCGGTACGGCTGCGGCTCCGGTTGGGAACGCCAGCAGCTCCCTGCGTCGCTGTATTTACAGGCACAAGGAGCTCTTTGGGGTTTGTGGTTCCCCCCTACCCCCCAAGCAAAATGAGGTCCCAATATTTGTGTTTGAGAAGAGACTCCTTACTGCCCTGTCCTTGTATATCCGCGAAGGAGCAGGGAAAGGCAAAGCCAGGCTTTGCTTGCCCGCGGTTTGACTTATTTACGTGGTTTTTGTCTTTCCTGAACAGACTGCCGAGGCTAGAGTAGACCCATCCGTGTATCCGTGGGCTTACACCTTAATTTTTTCAGTATTTTCCTACCAGTGCTGCTGCAGGGAGTTACCGCAGGAACCCGCCGTGCCACGTTTTTTCCTCCCATCCCTCCCTGCAACCGGAGAGGATTTCGTGGGACAAGCCCGGCTCTCGATGCCGCTCCCGCTCCGCATCCGCATCCCCCACCTGGCGAGGAGAACGCGGTCGGCCAGCGAAAGGTCCCCTCGCCTCCGGGGTTGTGAGCGCGGTCTCCCCTCGTTAGCACAGCGTGTGAGCGCCTGCTAACGAATGTTGCCTGATTGGAACAGGCTCCCCTCTTGCTCGGAGTAAGGACAGGGTCAGGTCCCGGCCCTCCACATCTCGCCGCCAGTCACAAATGAAAAACCACGAGCAAATACTGCTGACGACACTGGAGACGTCGTCACGCAGACAGGCGTCCACAGTGCTTGCTTGGCCTGAGCAGCAGCCCCTTACTGTTTTTTAATGACTATTTTATTTCAGTGTGTCACCAAAGGCATCTCGCGGGTTAAGGGGGTTTTGCGTAGCGTTTCGTTTGGACGTGGTGCAGCCTTTGCCAAAGTCTTGGTGAGGTACGAAAGTGTCTCGGTGCTCAAATGAATGTTCAGTTGCAAATGCATGCCTCTAGGAATAATTCTTTTGGTTGTAGGTACGTAATGGAAAGGCTTAGTGAAAACACCTTCTAGACTCGAATGAGTGAAAGCAATACAGCCAAGACTTGATAATCTGACTTTATACCAAAGTTTTCTCCTCTTAATTTGATGTGAACTAAATGAAGCAAATATCTATTGATTTAAAGTGAGTTTTCTAAAGTGTTTTTGGAGCTAATTTGCTGGATTATTGGCGTATTCTGCCCCATTAACCCAAAGAAATAATTTTTCAATGCGCTAACCCAGCCTGTAAACTATCACTGCCGTAGGGAGATTGGATTTCACTGCCTTATGTACTGCTCCTCCTAAAATACCCGTCTGCCCCGGGCTAAATAGGAGCAGATCTTCTGGTCTTGATCTGGATCAAGCCGTTACTCAAATACTGCCTTACCCGAGGAACTCAAAACTGAGGGTGGTAATTAAGGCTTTTTATGAAAAAGGGCTTCCGAACCAGAAATAAGTCATGAAAGTCAGGAATAGCCGATTGTCTTGTCAAGATATTAAGGAAAAACTCCCCCCTCGAGGAACTCGCCTGAATACGTCCCTTCCAGGGAAGGTCTTGCCTCAAAGTGATGAATTGTGGCTGTTAACTTGTGCTTAAACCACTGCCGTTGGGGTCAGTCTACCAAGTAACTCTGTATTGCATTTCGGGGACTTCGTTTTTTTTGTTTGTTTGTTTTTATACACATAAGAAAATGGTCAATTTTTATCTATTTTTGTATAGTTTTGCATTTTATATTCATGGGGAAATTTTATGGACTGTTCTTACTCACGTGCGTTGTCTTTTAAAGTGGTGTGGTTTACCGTTCCGATGGAGAAAAGGCAATTATTGCTGCTGCTGCCTCTGCCCGTGCAATGCAAGGAGACCACCTCGCGCCTCCTACCCTCCTGTAGCGTGCTGTTCCGCTTTATACCCGGGGCCAGCTCTGAAACCCCGCAGCCGGTCCGTTACCGATGCACGCTCTCTCTTTGCACACACCGCTGAGACGTCTTTGTTTCAATACTGCTTTGTCACGCTCGTCAACTGTTATTTCTTTTTTTTTTTTTTTAAGCTTTGGTTTTAATCTGAATTTGTGGACTTTGGTGATTTCTCCCTGAAAGTATTGTTGACCGTCTTTAACCTAGAAAACCGCAGATTTCAGTCGGGGCTTTCCCTTCCGCGTGCTGAAATTCTTTTATCCAAAACTGGGGCTTTTCTTAAATCCCCGGGCGGGAGACGCTGTCGGTGGGTGCGTGGCGATGTTCTTGAAACCGGTGACAAATTTCTTCTCCCCTTGGTGCTCCCTGGCCGGGCTGGGAGCTCGGCTTTCGCCCTTGCGCAGGCAGCAGCGCCTGCTCCCTGTCTGAGGATTGCTCTTTAAATAATCCTGGGGTCCGCAGGGGATTAGCGGGGCTTTCCACCTTCTCCTCCTCTCCTGCCAGGCTAGGCTGGAGCCTGGGGAGCTCCAGCCCCGTGCCGCTTGCGCTGCCAGCATCAGTAAAGCATCTTCCTGGAATAATACTGCCTTGAATTTTGGGATCAGAAGTGCAAGGAGAGCTCCTGGTAAGCTAAGACCCAGCGCTAGTTAATGTGGCTCTTCTTGCTTTTGTTTTTTTATTTAGTTGAATGAATATGCTGCTTCGTTTGCTTGACTCTGTAGGGTTTGTGCCCCTGCAGAGTTTGCAACCCTGCGCAGGGTGTAAGGGCTGAAATAACTTCTCTGCAGAAGGCCACGGTGATGAACTGAGCAGGCAAGAACAATGTCAAACAGTGACGTGCCAAAAGAGTATTAAATGCTGAAAAGCTAAAAGATTACAGCCGAAAGCAAACTTTTCCCCCTTCTTTCCCCCCTCGCCAGCGCCAGCAGAGATGGCAATTGCTGCTGAGACATTTGGCTCTGCATAGATTTTTGTCCTTTAATTAAACAGCTCTTCATCTAATGGTGCTTCTTTTTTTATTTTTCTTAAATGGTTGTGCCCCTGTTCCCGGCACGGGGACTGGCTGGGCAGGTCGCTCGGCAAACATTCCTGGGGCGCTCAGACCTGCGCTGCATTTCACATTCCCTCTGCCCCTTAATTTTGCGGCTCCCTCCTCTCCAGCTGGGGCTACCCGCTCCTCTCGCCGGTCTTGGGTCATCCTAGACTTGGGTGAAGTGATAAATTAAAATCTAGAAAAGCCTCTCGGTTCTAAAGACAAATAAATTTAGCCCTTGTCCCAGGTGGCCCCGTGCTTCCCCCCTGCCGCCCCGCTGCGAGCCGGCCGCAGAGCTG